TCGATGCACGCCTATCTGGTGCAGAGAAGGTTGCGTACATCGGACGATGCAACTCCCCCACACAAAATGTTATGATTGTGTATGATTTTAACATGTGTTTTACCTTTGTTATGAGTGAATGGTAAGTAAGTACACACGATAGTCGTGTTTTCAAGTTTGCTACTAGAAACCATAACACGATTTTCCATGTCCTCCTCTAGGTGATCATCAACACTAATTTTGTTGGGTAATTATTTTTCAATTTCTAATTAACGTAACTGAACAGGTAAATATTATTTGGTCAACACCGGATATTTCTTTCAAAGAGGGTATCTGAAGCCTTATCCAGATACGAAGTACCACATCCCCGATTTTGAAAGATCAAGCGGGGTAACACAAGGAAAGAAAGAATTATTTAACAAAAGGCACTCCTCCTTGTGTGGCGTAATCGAAATAGCTTTCAGAGTGTGGAAAAATAAATAGGTTATGTTACGTGATATGGCGGCTTACCCATTTTCGAAGCAAATACAAATAGTAGTTAGCACAATGACACTACAAAATTTCATTCGACGACACCACTCCAGATCAGATGCAGAGTTCGCCCTCATAGAAGATGATTCACATCAGATCCCACATGAAGTATATGAATACCATGTGGGACGTACTATGCCGCACAAAAAAATGGATTCACAAGATGCATACAGTCGAGAGGTGAAGGTGCATCAGAGACGACGACTTTACGAAAATAAATAGCAGATGAAATCAGTCAATCATGAATGAACAATTCATTATTTATGTTTGAAATTTGATGTATTATTTATTGTTACGTGTTCATTTCTATGTTATTGGGTTTATGCAAATTTTTATCTTTTTAAGCAGGTTAACAATGACAATTGTAAAGGAGTTGGGGAGTTTGAACATCTCAGTGGCTAGATCATTTATGCTTCAAAAATCTTTGCCACGCTATTTAATTTATTTTTTGATTTATAATATCGATGGTAGTTTTAAAAATGAGGAGGTTTGTGGGCTTGCATAAAATATTACACTTTGACTTTCCATATGAAGATCTCTTCTATTTTGAGGGAATAATGAAGAGCAAATCGGTTGTGAATTTATGGGAGTTATGTTTTTCTATTCTGCAGAAACTGTATGGGAGTTATGTTTTACCTCCTGCAGTTTTTTTTTTCTGTATAGGTATGACTCTATGAGAAAATGACTTATATTTTGCAGAATTTATATGTGAGTTATGTTTTTCTGGGAGTTCCATATGAGTGGTCTCTTTTCTGAATGATTTTCAGTTAAAGTTGCTTTGCAAAAAAAACTATGGTAATTTGTCTTGATAATAGAAATGCATCTGAAATTTCTCTTCCAGCTCGGGCTGGTCTTAAGGCTAAATGAACTGCTCGATCATCTCAATTAATCAACTTGTTTCAATTGCTTGATAAATAAGCTGAGGCTCATTTTGATGTTATGGCTTTCATTACATGGTTTATTGTTATACATATATCAAAAATTTTCATTTGCTGGTATCATTTGCCGAGGCTCTTATTATTTTTTTATTTTTTTACTTTAATCTCCGAAAGAAATGCAGTTAAAAGGTCATATTATGGCAGTTACTTAGATTTTTCATATGCTCATAACTTGCACTGGATTATCATAGTTTGTACCATTTATGGTTAATAATATATGAGGACAATTATGGTGATTTGGAAGGTAGCCATCGTGTTCAGCCGATCAATAAAGAGATGCGTTAAATGAGAATGAAATTTGATTTTTTTGGCCAAAATGCTTTGTTAGCAAAGTGTAATTTGGTTTATGGGGTTTTAATACAGCAGAAGCCTAAACTAACCATTCTTCTATGTGGCTGAAACAGTCCAATGCATATACTGCAATCTTATACAACTCAATTTTGATTATATTCTTTTGGAGAAACCGTTGGTACATGGTACATAGTTCTCGAATTATGAAAATGTTTGGTTGCAGCTTGGATCGCTCTCTTTATGAGCAACCGCTGCTTATGTACTGTTTAGTGCCCCAACTTGATTTGACACAATTTTTTGACACAATTTTTTTTTTTTTTTTTTTTGCTTTAGGACTTGTATTTCGGTTATTTATCTTGCCTTTTCCCAAGTGCCATGATTGGAATGGTAATTGGAGCTTTGATGAATGAGAATCTGTTGGTGGGAGTTTGAACACCTGCTTTGAACATCTGTTTAATCGACATGTAACTGATGGTTGGAGACTCCATTTCGGGAATTGAATCAATTTTTTCAGTTAGTATTCAGCTATCGAAACATATGAATTTTTAGTTTATAAAATGGTTTGTTGCAATGGCTTGATATTTCTTTTTAAGCATATGCAAAGTCCATCTCTTGACTAACTCATTTTCAATTGGTATGCCTTGCATAGCCAATTTATGAAATGGATGGTTTACATACATACCATGGTTGGATTAGGTGGCGGTGACATTTTTTTGGGAGGTTTACATACATACCACTTAATTTCCTTGCATTTACATATTGAACACCTAAACTGTGAAAATTGAATCGCATGAATGATGAAATGCGGCATTTACATGGAGTTGTGAGTATGCTTTGTCAGGAACTAAATGAGTTTAATGTGAAGAATGAAAATAGTTCTGAAAATGGTTCTGGAATTTTCCAACTGAAAATGTTTACCTCCACTTTTGTTCTTTTCCATTACCTGCAGGAATATTTCTTGAGTTGCAGCATTCGTCCTTGCTTTTACCTGCAGTTTCCGTGGTTGAGTCAATGATCTGCAGTTTCAACCAAAGTTTCTGCAAAAGAATTTTTTGTTGGTGGTTTGGTTAAATATATGGAGTATGTAATTCATTGTTATTACAGCTTGGATGACCATTCTTTTAGGGCAATCGCTGCTTCAACAACAATATTTCATATGAATTGTTCGACCCTTACAATTGAAACTACTACAGCTTGATATTTAGGCATATGATATTTGAGCAGACAGAGTTGGGCAATTAAATGCATAAAAACATATTTACTGCATGCATACATATGTTTTGCATAGATAATCATTAATTTTTTATTGTTTTTTTCCATTTAGGTGCATTAAGATTGGGAAGTTCAGATAAATTTGGAAATGAAATAGGCAGGGAAATAATAATTTCATGTAACTTGAAAGAGAAAAGATTACACTTCGGTAAGTTGAGTTTCTTTACTTCCTTTAGCTTTTGACTAATCTACTTTTTTTAAATAATTGCAAGACGATGAGCTCCAGGTATTCAGGGAAGTCCGGGCAAGTGTTGTGCCGCTGTGGGTTACCATCCTTGTTACTCACGTGACACCAGCCACACAACTATGGTCGGCAATTCTACAGGTGCCCGTGGTAGGCACATGGACCGAAGGACTGCAAATTCTTCAGGTGGGCCGACAGTACAGCCGTTTCTACTATATCCCAACTGGACACCGCTGCTCGGAGTTCGACAGTATCACAACGGGAGAACACCGCATGTGGTTCGAGTGCTTCCATTTCTACGATATCTCATTCAGACAGGATTGCTCGGGACTCTGCCGTATCAAAACCTGACAACATTCGAAGTGATATGCTTTTACATTTTAAAGCCAATATTGTCATTTTTTTCCTTGTATTATTTTTTCTTTTTTTTGGGTCTCAATATACTCCATATTAGTGCGTGAATGTGTACTTCACTTTTGTATATGTAACTGTGCTTATTTGATGTGATCGGAACTTTTTGAGTTATATAGATGTAATTCAACTCTTTTGTATTTTCATGTCTTTACATTTGAGAAAATAACAAATTCTGCGTGACAAATTATTCATTCAACTAAAAAATCAGAAAATAAGCTGTTTACAAAACGCACAAACCAAACAGCTAAACAACTTACCTAGAATAGGGGCATAATGGTCATTTATCCAGAATCAGTTGTTTTCCAAACACACAAATTCAGTTTATCCGGATCAGCTACTCATCAGCAGATTATAAGAATAAGTTGTTTATCAGCAGAAACTGGATAAATTGTAGCTACCCCAAACAAACCCTAAGTCTCTCCTCCATAATGAGCAAATAAGACTGCCCCCTTCACACTCAACTGTGGGAAACCTCCAAACTCTTCTTAAAGCTCGACTTGAAAAAAATTTATGGAGTTGGTTCTCTATTAAAAAATCAACAGGATCCTCACAGAGTACGACATAAATCACACAATTAGCGAGTCTTAATAGTTACCCCCTTGAAGGTAGCAACAAGATCCTCCTAAGACCTAGCAAAAGTTGTAGCCCGCTGGAGGCAACGTTCCAACGAGAGTGAAATAGTTGGCACATGGAGCGGAACTTGAGTTGAAAATTTTTCTATCTAAAAATCTAAATGAAAGCTTGACTGATTTTACTATCCAAAAATTTGGACACTAATTAATGATTATTTTCAAAATACTCATTCGCTAAAGGCTAGCAAAAGGACTATTAAAAGCTTGAGGGTCTATTTGAGGCACCTGCAGATTATTGATAATCTGCTGATAAGCAGCTAATAAATAATTTATGCAGATAAACTGTTGATCAGTAGCTATTCTAAATAAGTTGGATATCAGTTTGGTTTGTGCGTTTGGAAAATTGTTGATTTGCAGTTGTTTCTGGATAAATGACAATTCTACCCATATGCAGTATTTTTAAACAATTTCAAATTATATTAAATTTCAAAACTATTTTATTATTTTGTGGTGGGGAGATGTCCCAGGGGCATTTACATACACACCACACAATTTTAAGTTGTTTGCATATTTAAATCTAAATTTTACATTTATAACATCCAAATATTCATATTATATTAAAGATATCACTATTTATTTAAAAAAAAAAGTCATAATAAATATTTTTAAGATGACACATATATAAAATTTTAGGTATTAAAAATGTAAACACATAGGTATTTGGCGGTAGGTATGCTGATCTTCCTTTTTTTTTAATTTTTCAACTCCATTTAAACCTTCATTCCCTCTTCCTCCTCGTTCTGCAGAAAGGAAAGAAAAATGGGTACTGTGGATCCGTACCTTCAGAGGGCGAAAGCCCCTCGTGCTATGGAGAAGCGGAGAGGACTCGATCTTCTCCAAATCTCCGAGCTAGAGAAGCGACAACGAGGAAACAAATTTGAGATGGCGGCACTGCAGAAGCTTCCGACCATGAACAGGGCGGGAATAAGAATTCTAAATGTTGAGGATAGGGAGCTGAAGGAGATCGACATCAAAAACCTTAGCTCGGGGTCGAGAGAGACAGGTTAGAGGAGTGAAAAGGTTAGGGCAGATGATACAGGAAGAGGGCAACATTGTCAAAGTATTTCTCGAGATGGAGACGACGTAGGTCACCCGCGGCACACATTTAAAATACAAACATAGTTTTCCCAGACGCTGCCCGAAAGCTGGATTCAAGCGGTGAGACGGTGTTTTCAAAACACTGTCGCAGCTGATAAATTACCCCAAACGCACTTTGAGTCCAACCGGAGTTGTGTGAAATAATGCTTTCTACACTTATAAGTTTTTCATTCTTATTGTAGCTTCGCATTCACGAAGTGAAAAATTCGTTGGCTTTATGTATAACCCAAAAATAGGCCCTTGCCGAGCAGAAGGATCTGCCACTAGAGACAAACCAACAGACATGCAACCATCGGGTCGGCCACTTTGGTCGGCTACTCTCATCCTGTAAGTCGGCCACTTGCAGCCGACCGACCAAGATGGGTGAGCCACCTTCCTCCTACCGAATGGTGACCTGCAGGTTGTCAACCACTTGGGCAAGCCATCACCAATTGGTTAGCCATTATGGTCCAACCAATTACACCTAGTCGCCAGGCCACTTACAACCAACCAGCAGGCCGCCATGTACGAGTCATAGAGAAGAAAGACGACTGGCCATCTTGGTCAGCCAATCCCCAGCTAGGCCCCCACCTTGGCCGACCAGCCAACGAGAACCACTTATGTCGACCACATGACACTGACAAATCTAAGGAATAAAAACTTCAAGAGGACATATCCAAGTGAGGGAAAGTCCCGAATACCACTCTCTACTCTAAAAAATTCATAGTCATAAGTGTAATATCCATTTTCCCCTATCTTTCTCTATAAATAGAAGACCCATTGCATGTGAAATGGGAGTCCCTAGATTTTCCCTCTCACCCTCATGTTGGGAGCTTTCTTCTCTTCTCTCCTCACATTGTAACCTCTCTTTTGTATAAAAGAAGCTGTCACGCCCGGGGACCACCCCTATTTGCTCCCGACGGGGCAACCCTCTCACTTGTTCTCTCCCTCTCTTTCTCATTCACATTCCTATCTGATTTTATTCCTTGTACATGATCCAAAAGACAGAATTGAACTGAATACAAAGTAAACTAGTTGACACAAGATTTTTTAGTTCAATGACAGTCAAAACAATTATATCATAATGTTAGAAATCAAGATCGGATAAAAGCACAATAAGCACTTAAATCGTTTTAAAAAAATAGTCAATTTCCATTCTCAATCATATGTTCATATTACTTACTCGATTTGGCAAAAAAAAAGGAAAAAAATCAATGAATGTTAATCAAAACGTTAACTCTGCAAACAGTTTTTTTTATTTATGTAGAAAAGTTCTAAAATCAAAATTTCTTCTTATTTTCTTTTTCATGAATGCGTTGATGATCATATTTATAAGAATTTGAAATAAATATTATGATAACGTGAAGGAAGAAAGTGGATAAAATTAATAGGAAAAAACCGAGAAAAGTGAAAGAAATAGACCAAATGTGTTGAAACAGTTGAAGAGAAAAAATTTAGGAAAATTGCATTCGTGCATGAGACACTTTGGCGTTTGATTTACTTAAGGCTCGTTTGGGGCAGCTTAAAAGTGTTGCGGCTTTTTTAAAAACGCCGCCTTAAAGTTTCTTTTTCACATTTGAGTAAAGTTTCAAAAAACAAGTATTACACGCGGACCACAGGTATGCCCCGCGATCCGCGTTTGGCCTCCAAGCTTTTACGGAGCTACCCTCGCAAACAGTCCTGCATTCCTAAACTTTCTTCGAACTCTTGGCATCGATCCTGCCTCCGAAGTCCCTTCGCAGGTAAGAAATCTCTTCTCCTCGCTCCGCTCCTCCCTCCTTTCCCCTATTTTGCCGAAAGACATCTTGATATCAAACGATCCATGTGTTTTATGCGGTGAATCTAGAAGAGTTTAGTGGCTAAAAACCTAGATCTAGTTGTTGGGATGCAAGTATTACCGGTAAAATGTAGATCCATTGTTATTCTGAAATGTTTGAAGCATCGAGAGGGATTCCTTCTCGATTCCCCATCCCTAACCTTTCTTCGAAATGCCTAATGTTTGATTTTTATTTACAGAAATTTTTTAACATTTGTTTTCCATATGGTCTCCATGCCAGGAAAAGATTTCTGAGGCTATTAAAAATTTGAGACATCTTCCATATGAATCTTACTGTGCGTTTCACTCATATGCAAAGATCTATAAGAAGTCTTCATTATTTACAGTTCATAATCTATAAGAAGGCATTTTTGGTATTTTCTTGCCTGGCAATGAGAGTGATACATCTAATCTTCATTACTTGCAATTATCAAACAATATATTTTCGAGTGTACATGACATTGGGAATCTTTGGTAATCGAAGCTTGCTTTGCCTTTCAATGAATTACTGCAAGCAGTATGTAGTACTCTTCACAAAGTTTTGTTCTTTTTTTCCAATGATTCACAACTTGAATGTTTGTTATTAGTATTTCAAAATGTGTTTTGTCTGCTTGCAAGTATAATGCAGGCCCAATGGTCTGGGAAAAACTAATGTTACAAGCTTTATACTCTCATCCTATATTTTTTTTGGGATGGATAAATATCAAACCTGCAATCTTATTGTACAATGTTTCTTCCTTTTAATGTTTGCTTTGATTCATATGAATCTTGAATGGGTGTTCTTCACTATTAGTTAATGATTTTGTGAGATCTGATATCTTTTAAGGGACTTGATGTTATCATTTCATACTACTTGTGGTTTTGGAAGGTAGAGTATGATTTCATTGGCGAGAAAAAGAAAAGATTTTATATATGATGGTTATATTAAAAGCACATTTTTGTTTCACCAATATACTAATATATATTTCAATTCATAATCATTGCGCATTTTTTTTACATATGAAAATTCCATCTCTTGACTGGCTCATTTTGAGTCATAAATGTCATCTTACCATTCGCTCATATCACAGTAAAAAATGACTAAATCTAAAGAGTCCGGATCATCGACTATGTGGGATAGAGAGATTACTAATATTTTTTGTGATCTATGTCTGAGGGATGTCGAATTGGGAAATCGACCCACAACTTATTTTAATAAAGAAGGTTGGCAGAATCTCACGACTAAATTCAAGAAAATAACTAGAAGGGATTACGATAAGATGAAATTAAAAAACAAATGGGATCAATTAAAAAAAAACTAGAAACTTTGGAAAGAGCTCAAAAGGGATCAACTGGATTGGGATGGGATCTACTAAAGCAGACAATTGATGCACATGAGGAATTGTGAGCAGAAAAATTAGAGGTAATTACATCACTATTTCAACTTATTTTCGGAGACAATGTTTTGAATATTGATTACATTTTTCTTGTTGTTACAAGCAGTGCCAGCGACAAAAAAATTCAAATTGACAGGCATTCAACCAACTTTAGAGGAAAAGTTGGATGGTATGTTTACTAGTGTTGTAGCAACAAGAGCTCATTTTTTTGCACCCCAAATGAGCAGGGTTTCGCAAACTTAGCACAGGATATGGAGTCCAAGCATATATGTGATTCAGGAGAAGGTCCCAGCCAAATTCCCACAGATATTCAATCCACTGGTGGAACAAAGCGCCCCCGACCTGCAAAAAATAAAAAAACTTTACATTTGTTAGAGATTCTATTGAAACATTAATTGAAACTTGCAAAAATAATTCTAAAACGGCGAAGGACAACACAGTTTAGGATTGTGTTAAGATCCTTAACACATATCTTGGTATTAAGGAAGACCAAGCTATATATGTTAAGTATGTCAAGTTGTTAGGGAACTCTACCCGCAGACAGTTCTTTGAGACTTTGGACCCAAAATTATGTCTTCCATATTTGCGTTCTTTTATGAAAGATTGAATGTTATTAATGTAACTTCATTACTATTGCTGGGTTACATTGACTAACTAGGGGGTGATTTTTTTTTTATGGACTCCTATCTATTTATGTCTTATGTGTTATTTATGTGAGGGACTCGTTAAATGTATTGTAGTTTTTTCAAGCATGAATATGTAGTCTATGTATCGTTGCCATTGTCTAATATTATTTATTATCTTGTTTAAAAATCTATCATTTTTTCAGATTTTATATTATGGATGAAGCACAAATTAATCAAATCTGCGTTGTTGCTCTCACCCTTACTTTGTTATACAATTACTATAATGCATATGTTGATCGAAACCCATGCATGACGTCTAGTAATATTGGAGATAGATGGATCGGGGATTTATTACATGGTCACCCGAGATGTTCTGCAAATATGTTTTGTATGACAAAAGTAATTTTCTTGGACCTCCTTAATGAACTTCGGACCCTTCACAGATTGCAAGGTTCATCAAGAGCAACATCTAGAGAGGTGTTGGCAATAACACTTTACATTTTATCCTAGAATGAATCCATTAGAGGAGCTATGGAACGACTTCAGCATTCCTCAGAAACCATAAGTAGATATTTCTCAATTGGGTTGAATGCACTAGTGAGTCTGGCCCGTGAAATAGTCAAACCAGAGGACCCAACATTCCAGTCCATCCCCACACATGTTACAAATGACCCTTGATATATGTCGTTCTTTAAGGTGTTTTCCCAATTTAAATATCAGTTACAACAATTTTACACATGTGATTTTCTTATTGATAAATTCATCCATCACAAGATTGTATCGGAGCTATTGACGGAACACATGTAGACGCACGTCTTTCTGACACAGAGAAATTTGCATACATTGGATAGTGCGGATCTCCAACACAAAATGTAATGACTTTTTTGTGATTTCAACATGTTTTTCACCTATGTGATGGTTGGATGGGAAGATAGTGCACACGACAGCCGTGTTTTCAAGTTTGCTACCAGTAACAGAATATATAGTTTCCCTTATCCACCACCAGGTATGACAGTCGTGTTTAGCTTTTGACCATCCGAATTTCTTTAAAATTTTTAAATGTCAGAAAACCTTACACAAAGAAGTAATACTTAGTAGATGCAGGGTATCCTTTACAAAGGGGATATTTGAAACCATATCTAGATATAAAATATCATATACCTGATTTTGAGAGATCGAGCGGAGTTGTACGAGGGAAGAAAGAAATTCTTAACAAAAGGCATTCATCCTTGCGTGGTGTGATCGAGAGATCGTTTGAGGTTTGGAAGAAGAAATGGGTAATTTTACGTGATATGCCAACTTATCCATTTCCAAAACAAGTCCAGATTGCAGTGGCCACAATGGTACTACACAGCTTCATTATACAACATCATTCCAGGACATATGCAGAATTTGCCATTATAGAAGAATATTCATTGCAAATACCACCTGAGGCATTTGAATACCACGCTGGACGTACCATCCCACAACTCGAACTTGATTTACTAGAATCACACACCCCAGATGGAAAAGGTTCTTTAGAGATGACAGCTTTGAGAGAGCAAATAATAAATGACATAAGCCTAGCCATCTAGATTAGATTACGTACCATGTGTTTAACTTATGTTTTGCAAACTTACTATGTGTGTTGAGTTGCATATCCTTTTTTGGGAGTAACAAACAATTTTCAATGTCATGTTTTTTTTGCTATTCATATGATTTGCAGTATTATATGACATGATTTCGAAAAACAGTAGTTATGTTTTTTTTTTTTTTTTTGCATTACATGGGAAATATTTCTAGCTGATATATAATTGGTGCAATGGCCGTATTGGTGCAATGGTTGTATTGGTGCAATGGCTTCTTTGTATTAGCAATATTTTTCAGTTATAGAATTGGTGCAATGGTTGTATTGGAAGACCATAGTATTTAAAGTCTAGTAATGTTATGGTCAAGATTTGTAGTTGCTTGGATGACCCAACTCTTTAAGGGCAACCACTGCTATAAATAGCCTATTGCCTCATATTACATTTTATTTTTGAAGCATCCCTGTATATGTTCGATTCAGTTGTTCTGTTACATTGGCTTGATAGTTGTTGGTGGGAGCAAAGTGATAACTTCAGTACATTTTTATTTGATTAAGCATAACATTTTGCTTTACAAATGTATTCCAAAGCATATCTGAAATAATAACAATTGCTATTACTTTTTTGTTGTTTTGGACATGTCTGCGTAAACTCTTTTACAAATGGCAGTATAGTAGCATGTGGGGTGACTGCCATAATAATTTTGGAAGCAATTGATGCTCTTACTGTTATGTGAATCTCTTTAGTATTGACTGGGCTCAGCAACTCCCTACTTGGTGAGATGGTTGGCACCTTCCCACAATGATGCTAATAATGGTAATATAAGCATATTTAGGAAAGCAAGGAAGCAATCTATACATTTCTTTGCTCAAGACTAGCATATTTGATTGTATTTTGTATCCCAACTTACATTTCTTACATATCTTGTACAAGTGATATGTAGGAAAGCCAGCAAGCAATTTATTTACATTTATTTGCATATCTTTTATTTCAATTGTATGTTGTTTACAGTTAACCTGTACACTGGAATTTATGCCTTGTTTGCATGGAAAAGGAGTTGACTGCAAAACCTTTTTATTGAGTTGGTAAGGAGGTTTTGGATGTTTTCTGTCAACCCATTGGAGGGTTATTTCAACGTTGGATAAATTCATGTGCAAGATGTGAAACCTTCAATACACTTCATAATGCAATAAGATCGTTTATGTGAAAAAAAAAATAGAAGATGCAGTTATGCTTTTTCTGGAAAATCTTTAGTTCTCAACAAAAAACAATAGGAGAATAATTGTGGAGCAGCTTGGACGGCCAATGAGGTTTGTTGTTGGCAACTGTTTCTTCTACATTTTTGGGGGTAAATTTTAAATTTTAAATAAACTACTCCTTTTAAATTTTTTGTGGTTCCAGCATTTTAGTTTAGTAGTAGGTGCAATTTGTACTTCTTTCCATCTCCTTCTGCATTTTTAATCTAGACTTTCAGTCGGCTAATGGAATTCCTCTTGCTATTGAGACAGCAAATGAAGGCTTGGAGAAAGCAGGTTTCTCTGCTAGTAAATCTATTCTTGTATTAGGCGGTGCAGGTGGAGTGGATCCTTGGTGATTCAGGTAATTTCATATAAATTTTGAAACCAAAATCAAACTATGAGTATCTATGGCAGAAAAAAATTCTGTGCCCAGACAACTGTTGGCTTGCCTTTCTTACTTCAATCCTTTTATAACAAACAAGATATGGTTGTTTATTGATTCATTCGCTAAAGATATGGTTGTTTATTGATTCATTCATTAACGAATGAGACTATGATCCAATGCAAATATTTCTTGACCAACATGATGGATTTTGTCATAGGCTGCTGGAAGTTTGATGTTCATTAGTATTGTTGGCTAGTAGTTTTTACTCTAGCTCTTTCCATCTCCTACAGGTCTACTGGCTGTAATTTGGTACCTGCATGCTGGCTGTAAGTTGGTACCTTGCTGTAAGTGGGTACCTGTAAGTTGGGAGCACTGCTTTTATTCAGGAGTTGGTGTGGTAAATGTTGTATGGCTTGTATTATATATGTATTTTCCTATGGTTTCCACTGCTCAAACAAAGAGAACAGTGAAAATAGAAATTAGTATTAGATTTGCATTTTTTTTAGCCATTATTTATTGGTGAGGGATGTGGCCAGCTCTGGCATGATACAAACATATAAGACCGTTTACTTCTAGGCTGATCTGAAATCATGAGATAGATGTCCCCTTCCCACAATGATTCTCCTTAGGCTATGGTACTTTAGCAATTTGTTGTTTGCATGTTCTCCTTGCTTTGATGAAAGCAGTGGTTCATTTTTCATATTTCCATAAGCTGGTATGTTCTCCTAGCTTTGCTGGAAACATGCAAGCTTTTGAAAATTTCAAAAATTTATGAATGCAATCATTTAAGATGTATAGATTTATAAAATTGTAGTCCAAGCTTGTATCTATGGACTAGTTGTTTAAGTTTTTAGTTATAATATTACATATGTCTTGGTTGTTATGTTTGGAAAACAGTATTCTTGTTTTGTGACAAATTATTGTTATGTCAACCAATGATTTTGTATTCCTACAATTACATTGAACTGTTTTATGTTTGGATCAATTCCTTTGTATGACCTAAACTATATATTGCTGCTTTTAATAGCAGCTCTGAGCTTATTTTATAATTACTATAGATATATTTCTTTATGTTGGTTAATAGCTTCACCTCTTATAATCTAGATAACGGTGGAGCAGTTTGGACGGCCACATAAATTTATTGTCGGCAATCGCTGCATCCATACTTCGTTAAGTATACTTTCTATATTTCCTCAATTTTTTTACTAATCTATTCTATTTTAATAAATGCAGGAAGATGAGTTCCAGATATTCAGGGAAGTCCGAGAAAGTGATGTGTCGGTGCAGGCTACTGACCTTGCTACTCACGTCACGCCAGGCACATAACTTCGGGAGGCAATTTTACAGGTACCCGCGGTGGGCACAACGACAGGAGGACTGCATTTTTTTCAAGTGGGCGGACAAGGAGTCTGTTTCTATGATATCCCAACTGGAGATCGCTACTCAGAGTTCGTCGATCTCAAAATTTCAAAACACTGCATCTGGTTCGAGTGATTCCTTTTCTACTGCATCCCAGTCAGACAGGTTCGCTCAGGGTTTTGGAGTGTTAGAGCCGGGCAGCATGAGCCGTGATATGTTGTTACATTTTAAAGTCAACATTATAACTTTTTTCCTTGTCATTTTGGCATGTTTTTTTTTTTTGGGGTCTCATTATACTTCATATTAGTATGTGAATGTGCATTTTATTTTTGTATGTGTAACTTTGCTTGTTTGATGTAATCATATATATTTGATTTATATAAATGTAACACCATTTTTTTGTATTCTCTTCTCTTAACATTTGATCTCTAATTTTGTTAAGAAAATAACAAATTCTGCTACACAGATTTTTAATTCAACTTAAAAAATTTGCAAATAAGCTGTTTATAAAAAGCACAAACCAAACAACTAAACAACTCATTCAGAACATGGGCAAAATGGTCATTTTTCCAGAATCAGTTGTTTTCCAAACGCACAAACCAAACAGCTAGACAACTTATCCGGTTCAGCTACTCATCAGCAGATTATCAAGATAAGCTGCTTATCAGCAGAAGCTAAATAAGCTGCAGCTGCCCCAAACAGACTCTTAGATTGTTCTTCAGTCTTGATTCAGATGCACTCAGAGACATTTTAACAAAATGACTAAGAGATTCACAGCTTGCAAGTTTTGTAGATTAATTAGATGTGGCTCAACTTTATTAAGTTGAGGTGGTTTCTTGCTAAACACGAGAATAGATTGACATGGTTCTATTTTGGGAGCTTTAATTGAGGCCTCCAATCCTTTTTGAAATGCATAAGAGAGAGCGGGGAATGAATGATAACATGTCAGTGTTCGGTTGTCGAAGGAAGGTCATGATTATTTATAATGTTGTGTGAAAGTATAATTATTTATATTCATCTTAATTTAACTTTAATTATAAAGATCTAAACAGAAGGACGAGAAACAAATGGCTTTGTTGTTAGTTTTTTTTTTCTTTATATTATGTGATTGTGTATGAATGTTTTGATTATTTTTTTTTTTCACAATGAGCCAAATTTGTTTTGTTCGCTTGATTATATACATATATAAGCCATGAAAGCCACTATATTTTTCATCCATATATAAAAACAGCCATACTATAGATCCTCACTGCTTTTTAACTTCTGAAGATTATATTATAGAAGATGATGATGATTGTGCAAATTAGTTTACTTTTGCCATATTTTGAGAAATATTAAAAAAGATATTTGAAAAAGAGAAAAGATGCAGAAAACTGTTGGAATATTTGAACTTTAAATGATTGGAACAATCTTGATAATACAAATAAATAGAAGGCAAAGTAAAACAAAAGCCGGCAAAACATTCTTTAGTTCAATGTCAGTCAAAAGTACCTTGTTAGAAATCAAGATAAGATTTAGGGTCTGTTTGGTGCGATGGTGTTTTTAAAACGCATCTGGCCCGTTGGGGTAAACTGTGTTTTGGCAGCTTATGCGTTTTCAAATCGCACCTGTCTAGGTGCAGTGACAGCTTTTTGGTTGTGGTCTGGTTTTTCCAAAAAAATAAAAATTTGCAATAGCTGCCGCACCTAACTTATCAGCAGATTATTCAATAAGCTGCATCTGCCCCAAGCAGACCCTTAAACACAATAACCACAAATATTATTTGAAAAGAAAAAAAAAACTTTCGCTCACATTTCTGATCACATCCTATATTGCTCATTCTTATTGGAAAAATAAATAAAAAAATTTTCATTAATATCATAAATAAATGGAGAGAAAAAATAAATCGCATCAATAAATCTAAAACAGACAGTTAGCTCTATTAAATGGTGTTTTTAATGCAGAAAAGATTGAAAATCAAAATATCTTTGGTATTTTCTCCATAATGCGTTGATGATGATATTCATAGGAATTTGAAGAAATTATTAGGACATAAGTGAAGGAAGAAAGTAGATATAATTAATCGAAAAAATAGAGAAAAATGATAGAAGCAGCCAGCATCCGAGCAACGAGGAATTATTACATACGGACACCGCGACCACCGCTTGCATCTCTACATGCGGTGTCTGATCCTGATCGTAGATCACGGTGATCTACGGCCAGGATTATTTCAGTTTTAAAAAAAAAATTTAGGTGGGGCCCACCAAAATACATCCTGACCGTAAATCAGGTGATTTACGATCAGGATCGGACACCGCACCGTATGGAATAATTTTTCCCGAGCAAGAGACACTTTAGCTGTCGGTTTACGTAGATAAGTATTCTTTCTCGGTTCAGATTTACTCTAGAGATATTTTAACAGACTGACTCTGAGATGTTCGCTGCTTGCACGTTTTGTAGAGATTTGGATGTGACCTAACTATATTAAGTTGAGGTGATTTTCGTCGTCCGAAAATACAAAAATTTGGAGTATTTTATATTTTTATCATATATATGTGTATTTATATCATATTACATCTGAATAGAAGTTAACGTACACATCTTAAGAAATCATGTTAAGCTCATTGGTTGGCATGTTCTGCTTCCTAAGGCTGGGGATAGATCTAAGGCAATGCATGTTATACAAATATTCTTTGATTTTTCATCTGTAAATATACAAATTTTGGTGATATAAATATATAAGAATTATGGGTATGTGAGTAAATTTATTGGAAATTTTCATATATATATGTGTGTATGTATGTGTATGTTTTTATCATATGTATGTGCTTTTCGTTATTATTATTTGAAAAGAGGAATACGGTAGGTCATAAGGCAGAAGCAAGAAGGATAAAATGAATACAGATTTTAATGTTTTTTTTTAATAATTTTCTATAATGCTAAGCCTCCTCTTAAGCTTATAAATAGAGGTCATGGTTGAGGGGAAGAACCACAAGTGAGGAGAAGGAGAAAAAGAAAATGGAGAGAGAGAGAGTGGAGTCTTCTGCTAACGAGATTTTCTAGAAGAAAAAAGTTGTCCTCATTCTACGTAGCAGGCAAGCAAAGGGGTTTTCTATAAGAAGAAAGTTAGCACACACGCTTTATAAATTTGAGAATCCTGCACCTTTTGAGGCTCGTGCCTTATGAGGTTGTGCCCTCTCGAGCTTATCTCTTTTAGAAGCTTGAAATGAACTGGTACCTCTTGCGACTCCTAGATTTTTTAGGTCGTTTTTGTACATGTGTCTTCTAAGACTTGTAGCCTTCTGAAGTCTTTCAGTGGAAACCTTGTCAACTACTTGTTTTATTGGAGTCTTTCTACCGAGGACCCGGTCCACTACTAGTTTCCCATTGAAACTTGCCTCTCAGGCTCATTTTCTAGGGGCATGGTAGCTTCTCATCAAGTCTTGCCTCCTGGGCTTGACTTCTTGGAGCACCGTAGCTTCTCATTGAGTCTTTCCTCCTAGGCTCAACTTTCAGGGACACTGAATCTTCTCATCGAGTTTTGCCCTTGGACTTTACTTCCAAGGGCATGGTTGAAAGGAGAATCCATTAAGGATGTAAGACCATTTCTTATTAGTATAACTAGAGAAGCTCGACGGTTTTAACTCAAAACAGACAAAGTCATATGAAATCCACTTAGATTGTTGACTTATCCAAGAATTTTGTTCGAAGCCTTTGTTTGATGACTGTAACCTGTTAAGAAAGAGATTGAAGGAAATCCCCCAAAGATTTTTGACCTATCTGAGGCAGTATGTCAAAGGTTTTGCTTGAAAACTGTAGCCTATAATGGAAGAAGTCAAATCAGCCCCCTGAGATTTATTAAGCCTAGACTGAGGTGTCAGAGATGATATGTATTTCTTAAGCTTGAGGTGTATGTCTCAATGAACTATATGTTTTCTTGGAAATATGGTTGCAATCAAACTCATGAATAATGTTTGATAATTCATTAGTTGCTACTTTTGAATTTTTTTCCCCCTAGCGAGAGAGTTTTCCATGCTAGCTTGTAAAACAACCATGTATCGAGCCTTGAAGAGATTACTTATTGATATAGCTGAAGAAGAACTCTTGTACGGTGAGGGGGCACTAAGGAAGAACTATTTGCTACAAAGATTGCCCCCTGTCTATGAGAGGTTTTCACAGCCTTGTTGTCTAAAAGAAATATGGGATGACTACTCTACTACAGTCGTGCCCATGATGTTAAGCTGAACAACTTTTCGAAACTACAATGAATATTTCCCCTAAGCTTGGAAGTTGTGAAAGAATTTGTGTCTGAATAAGATGCAAGAAGACAACAAAGCTACAATCATGCCCGGGAAGTTAACGTGAACGGTCTTTCAAAACTGCAGTGAAGGTTGCCCCCCACATTGAAAAATGTTTCGAAGATGATCATCAAGATGTAAAGAAGGTTCCTTCGCCATGTACATCATTGGAAACGAAATAGGATCTTGGTGTCTTGGAGTTAAAGATAACATCACATGGGACTTCACTTCCCACATATGGTGTCAAACTGGTTAGTGCTAGAAAATTTACGGCGGTAGAATAATGAATTATTGTCTTAGTGTTGCACGAGAATTCAACACACACTCAGATAAAAGAAAATAATCATTAGTGACACCAGAATTTTTTACGTGGAAACATGTAAGAGAAAAAAAGTCACGAGGTCTAGCCCAGTTGTAAATAAGGCTGTCAAAACGGCTCGTTGTCCGCGAATAGCTCATGTTCGGCTCGTTAAGAAACTCGTGTTCGGCTCTTTCACTAAGTTAAAGAGTCGAAAACGAACAACACGAATAAATATTTGTTCGTTCGTGTTCGGCTCATTTTGGCTTGAAATACTATTAATCAATTATATATGTATCTTTGATAAGTAGTATTTTAAAAAAAATTAATTGACTACAAATCTACAAAGATTTATAATCAATTAAAAGTGTTAATGAGAAAATAGAATAAAAATTATTAAATTAGATTCAAATAATGTTTTAAATCTTGCCCCAATCCTTAGCATCTTATGACAACATGATTAGGGTTGTCAAAACGACTCTTTGTTCGTGAACGGCTCTTGATCGGCTCGCTAAGCAAACGAGTGGAACACGAACACACTTTTTGAGCTCGAAATATAAATGAACCAAACACAAGCTGAGCCTGGGCTCGCTCGTGTTCGACTCATTTACACCCCTAGTTGTAAAAATCCATTATATGTTGATGATTACAGAGACCCTTTATTCCATGGGCAAGAAAAGATTACCAAGTCTTCTGAATTACAACGTTGATGTGCGAATGAACTTGTTATAAAAAGCGAGCGACAACCGATGACGATCAGTGGATGCCGGTATGTGGTGGTCGACAGTGGTTAACGGTGGCCGACGATGATCGATAGAGGTTAGCAGTGGTCAATGACTATCAGGGGTGATCAAAGGTGGCACAAGTGGTGTTAAACTTCAGCTCTTTCGCAAAACTTCAAGTTTTTTTTTCTCAAGCTTCAAGCTCTCCTCCCCTCCATAAGAGGAATTGAGCTCAATTTATAGTGATTTGAGTACAATTAATCGAGAAATATAAATCACTTTGATCGTGACGATCCTGGGAGCTTCCTTCAGTTATACGATATTTGATGGACATTTGAGTGTCTTAACAATGTTAGAATTTAACAATATTGAACTTATTGGATTCGTCTTGTTGAGACGCTTGATTCGCATATAGGCTTGCTAGATTCAACGTGCATTTGACATTTATGCGAATCAAGCGGTTTGATGACTTAATTTGAGCTTGATTATACTTATATTGAACTAATTTCGATATCATTGGGTCCAACTTATCGAATCGATCAATTTTATTATAAGTTTGCTGAGATCATAGCTCTCAATGAATTTTTTAATTAATATTGAACATTTCTTATCAAAAAATTGTTCGAGATTCATGTCATATCTTAGATACATCACATATGATGAGAATATGTTGATGGAGTATCAAATACTAAAAAATATAATAATAATAATAATAATATCACTAATAATAATAATAATAATAATAATAATAGTTTGCTCTGTTTGTCAGAATTTAAAAAAATTAGACACGGCAAAATCGTTTTGGAAAGTCAATTTTATTATTTTTAAAAATAAATACTATTATATTAAAAGATTAATTAATTAGATCGATTTTAAAGCTTTGGTCGTCTTGTACCCTGTTGCGCCACAAGGGTTACATGAGGACTGTATCTGCCCAACAGCCAACCACCTCTTCTTTTAATACACTGCTTCACCATAGCCGTCTCTCAAATCAGAATCTCAGTCTGATAATCAGAATCCCAAACGATAACGGAAAACTCCTCCTCCGGCGCACAGTCGACGAAAGCCCTAAAACCCAAGCTTCCCATCAAGGTCCGGCTCTCTATCAACCTTCTTTCCACCATCACCGACGCCTCCCGCCGCTCAAATGGTACCGTAAATCGCCGACTACTTTCCCTCATAGATTTCCGCGCCGCCCCTAGCCTTACCCCAGTCCGCGGCATTCGAACCCTAGACCTCATCATCGATCCCTCCCGCAACCTCTGGATCCGCCTATTCCTCCCCTCCGATGCCATCGGCCACCGGAAACTTCCTATTGTAGTCTTCTTCCACGGGGGCGGATTCGCTTTCCTAAGTCCTGACAACCAAGTCTACGACGTCGTCTGTCGTCGACTAGCCCGCAAGATCCCCGCCGTCATTGTCTCTGTCAACTACCGCCTCTCCCCTGAAAATCGCTTCCCCGCGCCTTACGAAGACGGAATCGACGCTCTCCGATTCATTGATTCAGGTGGAATTGACGCCGTCGCCGGCCATATTGCTGATCCATCATTTTGCTTCCTGGCCGGCGACAGTGCCGGGGCTAACATCTCTCACCACGTCGCCCGCCGGTGGGCAGGCAGCGGTGGGTGGAACAAAGTGAAGTTGTCGGGGCTGATTTTGATCCAGCCATTTTTCGGGGGAGAGGAGCGGACGAAGTCGGAGATTAAGCTCGCTGGGGCGCCGCTGGTGTCGATGACGAGGACTGATTGGCGATGGAGGGCGTTTTTGCCGGTGGGTGCTGATCGGAACCATGAGGCGGCTAATGTTTTTGGGCCAAATGACTTGGGAGTGATGGAGGAGGGATTTCCGCCGGCAATTCTGGTTGTTGGTGGTTTTGATCCGCTGCAAGATTGGCAGCGGCGGTACGGAGAGGAACTGAGGGCGAGGGGGAAGGAGGTGAGGGTGTTGGAGTTCCCGGAATCGATTCATGCTTTCTATATCTTTCCGGGGATGGCTGATGGCGCGAAGCTGGTTGAGGAGATGGGAAAGTTCATATGGAGCCGGAGTTCGCCGGAGAAAGAGGTGAAGTAAGAGGTTGATTTAGGGTTTTTTTTCCTTAATATGTAAAAAATAAGTGGAGTCAATCATTGGGGGATTTGAGGCGCCCTCGACACGCACCTTTAGTCATATTTGACCTTCCGCTTAGCTGATGCATTCCAGATTTTCCAACCAAGTTTTCATTTACATTAAAATCGAATTTAATTTAGATAAATACTGATTTTTTAAACTTAAGTGATCAAAATGATCCAAACAACTTTCAAATTAATTTTTTATTTGAAAGAATTATACGCAAACTTGATGCAGGTAGGTGCATTCATGGATATCAATTGCACATTCAACGTGTTCGTGTTGCACGAAAATCAAACATATTTAGGCAATAAAATGATAGTAAGAGAAGACAGTTTGACTTTTTACGTAAAAAGTCATGGAAATAGAAAAAAATTACACGGAACTTAGCTTTGTTGAAGTAATTCATTATGCAATGGTAAGTACATAAATCCATTGTTCTCCTAAGTTGGGAATATAGAATTACAAACTTGATATACAATGATATTTCAACAATAATAACCGCAATGGACCACAAAGATCGTAGTCAATTGCTATGGAGGCAACAATATGTTGTGAATGTTGCAGATGATAGTTGTAGCGCCAGCTTGATATAGATGTCATAAGTTTGGTAGTAGTTGGCTATGTATGTAAATTGTTACTTCAAAAGCTTCATTTGGCAACAGAGCGCATGGTAGGGAGATGAAAGAATTGTGAGCCTTGTAGATCTTAGTTGGTCACATAGACTATAGTGGAGAGCTACGATAACTTCTTGAGGCCACATAGATCGGAGTTGGTAGTTGCAAAAACTATGATAACGTTCTTAGGCTGCAGAGGTCAGGTTTGGGAGTTGCATGAGATGTGTAATATCCGTAGGCTAGAGAGACCGAGTGTGAGTTACATGAGTTGTAAAAAAGTACGTAAGTTGTATAGGACGAAATTGGAAGCCGCATGAGCTGAGATAGCTTTCATAAGTAGCAGACATCGATGTTGAGAGTCGCATGAGCTATGATAACATTTTTAGGCAGTAGAGACCGAAGTTGGGAGCTACATGAGCTATGATAACATTTGTAAGCCACAGAGACCAGAATTGGGGGAGTTTCTCAAGCAACGACAATGTTTATAAGGCCACAATGGCCAGAGTTTGGAGTTGTATGACCTGTGAACCACTTTGGTCGTTGCTACTTATGTAAATCATAGTGGTGTTTTTCAAAGAGAGAGCCTCAGGAGTTCAAAGAAAGTCATTGTATTCTGAGTATGATGGTTGTAAGCAATTATTGTGTGGTGTGTTGTTACATCACCTTCAAAAGATGTTCTTACACCGTCTTTGGGATGTATTGGTATAATGTATGTGCGGTGCGCGTTGCACAATCTTTAAGTGGTTGTTTTACCATCTTTAGGATATGTTGCTATGTAAGATGCTTCGTTACTCCGCAAGACGGGGTGTTACTCTTTACGGTATTTTGTTACTCTGCAGCATATTTCGGGATTCTACAACGAATATCGTGATTCACTATAGGAATAATGGTCGTTTCAGATGGCAAAATTCTGTCGGTTTTGATGAAAAAAATTGTCATTTTTAATGTTTCAGATGGTTTTAAGCTCGTAGATAAAATGCTCATTGGTAATTTTAAATCAGACTAATATTCTGATAGCATACAATTAAGGTCACATAATCGATAATTTAATGTCATAGTTTTTTTTTTAGAAATTTCAAATTGTTAATTTTCATCAGTTCATATATATGTCGGTTAATTTGTCAGTAATAACGACGACTTACATGTCAAAAAAGTATTGTACTTGTCGATTTTTTGACTCATGCGAACCATTTTTATGTGTCGTTGATGCGTCGGTTTTTATAACCGACAGATGAACTGTCAGAAAAGTGTCGTTCCTATCATCTTTCTTATGTAGACATACTATCGGTTCAGTGTCGTTGATGCGTCGGTTTTGATAACCAATAGATAAACTGTCGGAAAAATGTCACGACTGTCGTTTTCGTATGACACACTTAAGTTGTCGGTTAGACGTCGGCAAATAAGTCCATTGGTAAGCTTTCGGAAACCTGTAGCATCAGAAAAAAATAGATTATTTCTTTTGTATTTACATTAAGACATCTATTATCATAATATTTAATATATCATTCCAAGTATTTAATGAACTAAAACAATAGTAGAATAGTAAATTATCCATATAAACTGTAAATAATCTGAATATATACATATAAGATTGTGTGGTATGTTTTCTAGTGACTCCTATACGAGAATATATCCTTATCAAGAACAGGGCCAATGCCTTCGATAACTTTTTATCAAGAGCTCAGCAGTATAATACTCATTAAATATAATCACCTTGGGAGTGATGGAGGAGGG